AGGCATGGTTCTGTCGCTGAACCTTTGTTAACAAGTTAACTCCATTTAAAGTGTGTGTATGTCTGTGAGAGTGACCTTTACATACCTTGAAGTGTCTCATTTTTATATACAAATATCTCTCAAACAACTCTCAGAACTACATGGAGTAAACAAAAACAAAGACTGTGTATTTATACGCCATCAAGTGAAATTTATTTATAAGGTTATTTCGAAAGGATCACATGCTTATGGTTGCTTGCGGCTGGTCCCGCGTTATCCAATTTATAATTCACCATATAGTTCCATATCACAGCCATCTTTGTTTTGAAGAATCCCCCCTTTCACCCCTATTTCTTCTCCTTTCCTAGACGAGTGGCACGGTGGCCCAGTGGTTGGCACTGTTGCCTCACAGCAAGAAAGTCACTGGTTCTAGTCCTTACCAAGCGAGCCAACGTTTCTGTGCAGAGTTTACACATTCTCCTCATGCTCACATGGGTTTTCCTTGTTTTTCTCCCACTGTCCAAAAACAAGCAGCTTGAGTTAATTGACTAATCCAAATCACCATAGACAAGCTCCTAGTAAGTAGTTATTTCTTAAGAGCAATCACTATCTGTTCATTAGCTACTACAGCAGGAGAGTTCTCGAGATCTACCGGAGCTCAAACTCCCCTCTCGCCTTGCAAATGGGAGGGAGCCCTGGGCTCGAGGATCTTATGAACTCAGGGCTCTTTCCCGGGACAGCATGCCAGACAAGCTTTATAATCAATCGTCAGCCAAGTGTGAACTCTTGAAATGTGGTTAAAATGAAAGTCAATGGGGCAAAAAGGCACCAACAGTAAATTAGGAAGATAAAATGAAAATCTAACAATGTATCAAATCCAATGCTCTTATTAATCGCTCAACTGTTCAAGACTGTGATAAAAGGTTTTTAAAAATCCAGTCCACAATTACTTTTTATATTGAAAATACTTCATTTTGTGTGTGTTTTTCACTAAATCAGTGACATCATTTGTGAACTTGGAAAGTAAAGAGTTCAAATCCGGAAATTTTCTAAACAATTTAGTTGTTTTCATCAGCACTGAGGTTGATTAACAAAAAAAATAAATAAATAATAATAATTATATATATATATATATATATATATATATATATATATATATATATATATATAGAGAGAGAGAGAGAGAGAGAGAGAGAGAGAGAGAGAGAGAGAGAGAAATAAATATTTATCTGATGTATTTTTTTACAACAGTTTAATTCAGTGGATGTTTTCATCCTGAACATAACAAAAGGTTAGTAAATTTGAACAGTGCACAAGCATTAAGTCATTTGATACAATAAAGTAAAATATTGCATTAATCCTGCATGCATTTAATTAGTTTTTTAATCAGATTGCAAACTGAGCCAATTTTTTCTTTAGTCCGACCACTAAAACATCATTGACATAAAATAAACATGTTGATACACAACATTATCAGTGAGACATTATTCATTCTTAATAAATCCCTTACTCTGTCTTTGCATGTTCATGCTTGGTTCTTTGATCTCATTGTGCTTTTAGAAAACTCTTAAGCTTTTAATTCATGCCCTATCATTTGTGCATCCTTAAACTACACAGCATGATCTAAGTGTTGGATAAATTGGAAAAGACAGGCATTTTATAACTGTACAGATTCTTCCGAAAAGAATGAAAAAACACACACATCTCTTTTGCAATCCAATAAAATCTGTTCACTTTTATCTGATAGTTCTGTCCTTCACAAAATATGAGCGATAGAGAGCATGTGCTTAATGAAGTGGCGCCTTATTTATTGCCCACATTGTCGAGAACTGCTTTGAACTCTAATAGAAAATTAAATTCTTGTCAGATGATTCGGGGTGTAGTATCTGAAGTAAGAACGTCATAGCCAAGGGAATGAAGATCGTACGTGCTTTTACAAACTAATCCAGAATAATAACTGGAGGACCTGGAGATCGAGGGGGTGAAAAAAAAAATCCACTGGTATTTGATGTTCTAGACTCGCCGAATTTGCTAGGAAACGAAAGCGTAAGTGGTCTAAAGTGACAGCCTTTCATCTGAAGAACAGACAGCATATCAGAACGAATAAGCCGCTGTTCTGAATCTCAAAACACAATGTCCATTTGAACAGAGGAGGAAATTGTTTGTTGCATACTCACTTTCTAACAAAAGAAAACACTAACCACATAGCAAGAAACAAATTTAGACCACCACAAAGACATATGTGAATAGCCATAACCTCCAGTTGACCTCGCACTCCTGCTATTGCTAGTAACGCATTTGATTGGATCTAACTGACGCATGCTTCAGCGCATTCAATTAGGAGGAGTTGTATGGGTTAACCAGGACACTGTCATTGGCTGAAGGACACCTAGTGGGTGAATGTGTATCGACTTTCTGCTATTCTCCCAGGCTCTATGCGGGTTTTGTAGGCTGAAGCCGAATTCAAAGCTTGCTCTGGCAGCTTTCCTAGCAACATGACATGAATGCACTTAGCAGTCCTCATTATGGTCTCTATAGAGGCTTCTATATTGTTGCTAATTCACAGGCTGTCCTGGTAAGGCAGTGAAATCTCTCCAGTCTCTCACCTAAGGGTAAGCTAAGACAGTGAAAGTGCAGAGCATTGCTAAAAGCAAAGTTTCACCCCTGTGTTGCTAATGGTAAGCACAGGGAGCATTGTCGGCCTCCCTGTTGTGTTGAAAACACCTATGTTGTTCAGGACTATTGCTGGAGGCACAGGGTGAACCTTTTAAACAAGTAAACTCATTTTCATTGTTTGTTAGATGTTGAACAGGTCGCAGTTTCTTGCATTGGCACAAGGGGCACTGTAGTACACATTAGCATGTTATTTGACTGTTTACACGACACAAAATTAAATTAGTTTTCCTTAGCTTTTTTTAGAAGTTGCATCTGTACAGTGTGATCAAAGTGGTCCCATTCATACATACTAAAATGCTTTGTTGCTTTGTTTAATTTAATTTAATTTAATTTAATTTAATTTAATTTAATTTAATTTAATTTAATTTTACCTCACACCAAGAAGGTCCCCGGTTTGAGTCCCGGCTGGGCCAGTTGTCATTTCTGTGTGGAGTTTGCATGTCTCCCCGCCTTCGCGTGGGTTTCCTCCCGGGTGCTCCGGTGTTCCCTACCTGCGCTATAGGTGAATTGAATAAACTAAATTGGCCATAGTGTATAAGTGTGAATGTGAGAATGTATGGGTGTTTCCCAGTTTTGCAGCTGGAAGGGCTACCTTTGCATAAAAAACATGCTGGATAATTTGGCAGTTCATTTCTCTGTGGCGACCCCTGATGAATAAAGGGACTAATCTCGAGAAAACTAAATACTTTAATTTAATGTCTTGACAAAACAGTTTATTCAAAATTTGGAGCAGTAGAATATTTTTATTTTTATTTATTACTATTTTAATATTTTTGTTAGGAAATAAATTGATCAACTCAGGCTCTTTGTGGACATGTACCTAGGTTTACATTTCTAGGGACATTGTAATACGTGACCGGAGGTGCGTCTGCTTGAGGGCGCAATGTACACTTCAACCAACCAGGCTAGCTTGCTGTTGACTGAATGACTGATCGACTGACCCATCCACCCCTAAACCCAACCGATAGTGTTTTCAAAAGCAATCTAGAAAAAGAAAAGCCGCCATGGACGGCCGATTTTACCATGTTTTCTGCCTATTATTTATTTATTTGTTTTTGTTTTACTTGGTTTCTGGAACCATTCTTTGCCAGACTTTAAGCGTATCGTCACTGTCAACTCCCAAGTCCTCCAATGTACGTAGCAAGCTACTGGGTAAACGCAGAAAAAGCCGCCCACATGGAGGTAAAAGGTCAACTAATAGCGCAAAAAGCAACAGAAGCCGACGGCAGCATCTCACCTCCCCGTATTGTTAATTTTATAAATAAAATGCAGCCAGACATACCTCTGGCTACATAATTTGTGCTCTCCAAAAAATATAGACGGGGTACGTATCCACAATGAGTCTCAAATGTTTCAAAAGAGTTCTACTTCATATAAAATCAAATGTGAATTATTGTTACAACTAATTCAGCTGTTTTTTTATTTTGATATTTAATACATATATATATATATATATCAAAATTTGAATTAGTTGTAGCAATAATTCACAATATTACTGTTTTTACTGTATTTTTGATCAAATAAATTCAGTTTTGGGGAAGACAAGAGACTTTTTTTAAAAACAAATCTAACCCCAAAGCTTTACCTGAAGTTCATAATATAAATATAAGTTTTAAGAACAGTTTGTGGAAACTGAAACTGGCTACATATAAATATTTTCAAGATGTCAATGTATTTCCGTCGTTACCTTTGCAATCATTCTAGGTACTCCCAGATACATATAAATTGCACATTTCAGTTTTAATTTGGCTTTAGGTTGACACAACGTCTCAAGCTGCAGTCGACCGTAAAGCGTTCAGACTGTACACTTTCCTGCATGGCATGTCAGCTGTATGCCATGTAAGCTTCTGTGCACATTGAAGATCTTTTTCTTGAGGCGCTTGTGGCAAGGAATGAAAACTTGGAAGAAGATTGGGTGAAAATACCCAAGAGAGGCGTTTATGTGATAAAAATGCATGTGACAAATGAAGTGAAAGGGGAACAGATTCTCCCCTGGCTCTGTCATGGAGATCGAGAGCAGAGGGTGAAGCCCGGAGGCACGACTTCTGCCGGCGCACGATAATTTGCCATCCAGGTTAGTTGTGCACCGTAGCTGAAAACTCAGAGTAGGATAACAGCATGTGATTTTTTTTTAAGGGGGGGTTGGAGAAACTGCTCTAAGGTGCATTCGCTGAGATGAGTCACAGCTGTCGTCTCCTTACGCCGCCAATCCTACGTGTGCTGTTCTGCTCCCCCGCCTCTTGTGTTTGAAGTCAAATTTGCTCTGCACGGTGACTTTATACGCCTTTATGTACGTTATGACCCGTGCTCCATAATATGACATTTTCATCTTGCTTGCTTTTCAGGTTGGCAGAAATGGAGAACCAGAACTGTTCCTTTTTCACTGACAGCCTCTCGCCGGATGAAAGTTTGTGAGTACAACACCTCCCACTCACTGTCAAATCCTCGTCCGCGCATGGCCACGCATGCCTTCGTGTTTGGTGTGGCTAGACAGTCACATTAATTAAAAAAGATAATGAAAATGACCCATGGCAATGTGCACTCTCACCCTCCGTCTGTGTGATTATGGAGCACAACAGTAGGGATGAATAGAGCAGACGGAAAATACTCAGACGCTGACAGGACAGAGAGAAAGAGAGAGAGATTGCGCTATTGAAATGCTACCGAACAAGATGTTAAGAGCCGCAAGCCGGCGGACAAAGAAAGCCACTGAATCATGAGCATATATAGGTGAAATAAGGTGAGCCCTCACAAAATCACAACTAATAAAAGAGGTCAGCTCATCTGTGCCTAGAGTCATGACAGCGCACGCTTTGTGCTGGAAATGGCTCTGTGTGTGCATGAGGGAAATTTAAAGGAGGACTTCACCCAAAAATGAACTCATTCCAAAGCTTTATGACTCTTTCTGCTACGGAACACAAAGGAATCAGTCTTTTCTATCCAGATTCAAAAAGCATGCAAAAGGACCATTAAACCATCATAAAAGTGGTCCGTGTGACTCATGCATTGTCTTCTGAATCTTCTGAAGCTATACAATAAACCTTATGTGCGGAACAGACTACAATTTAGGGCATTATTCAAAGTTTTCATCACAGCTGTTAAATGTGTTCGGATCATTAAATCGGTTTTGCCTCTTTGTCGCCATCTCTGTCTGAAACATGCAATCGCTCGAGTGGGGTCTGTCTGAGGACTGCAAGACAGGGACGTAACAGAGTTATTAACATCTACAATAACTTCTACACCTACCCCAACTCTAAACCCAACCATTGTAGTTATTAACTTCTACATTAACGTCTACACCTACCACAACCCTAAATTCAACCATCATAGTTATTAGTTTCTTTATTAACATCTACAACTACCCCAACCATCATAGTTATTAGTGTCTACATTAACGTCTACACCTACCACATCCCTAAACCCAACCATTATAGTTATTAATGTCTACATTGACGTCTACACCTACCACAACCCTAAACCAAACCATCATAGTTATTAGTGTCTATATTACCGTCTACACCTACCACAACCCTAAATCCAACCATCATAGTTATTAGTGTCTACATTACCGTCTACACCTACCACAACCCTAAACCCAACCATCAAAGTTATTAGTGTCAATATTAACATCTACAACTACCCCAACCATTTTAGTTATTAGTGTCTACATTATCATCTACACCTACCACAACCCTAAACCCTACCATCATAGTTATTAGTGTCAATATTAACATCTACAACTACCCCAACCATTATAGTTATTAGTGTCTACATTATCATCTACACCTACCACAACCCTAAACCCAACCATCATAGTTATTAGTGTCTACATTAACGTCTACACCTACCACAACCCTTAACCCTACCATCATAGTTAGTAGTGTCTACATTAACGTCTACACCTACCACATCCCTAAACCCAACCATTATAGTTATTAATGTCTACATTGACGTCTACACCTACCACAACCCTAAAAACAACCATTATAGTTATTAATGTCTACATTGACGTCTACACCTACCACAACCCTAAACCAAACCATCATAGTTATTAGTGTCTATATTACCGTCTACACCTACCACAACCCTAAACCCAACCATTATAGTTATTAGTGTCTATATTACCGTCTACACCTACCACAACCCTAAACCCAACCATCATAGTTATTAGTGTCTACATTAACGTCTACACCTACCACAACCCTAAACCCAACCATTGTAGTTATTAGCATCTACATTAACATCCACAACTACCCTAACCATCATAGTTATTAGTGTCTACATTAACGTCTACATCTACCATAACCCTAAACCCAAACATCATAGTTATTAATGTCTACATTAATGTCTACACCTACCACAACCTTAAATACAACCATTTTAGTTATTATCGTCTACATTAACATCTACACCTTTACCAACCCTAAACCTAAACCTTACTACAATCAATTTTTATCTACTGACACACCACGTCCTGTGTCGCCATGCTATGATGTCGTCATACATTTTTCACCACTAGAAGATCAAAACATGACCTGTTTGTATGGAAATTTTAAATATGGAGCAATTTCGCATCATCTTGTTTTATCCTGCTCCTTTTCACAGCATCGTACGACCAAAAATTGCATGCTTAAGCTCTAGTGTAAAAGCGGCTTTAGGGGCCGATCACACCAAACACACTTTTACGTTCTGAAAATGCAAGGCACACCACACTGCCTTTTTTGTTGCGTTAAAAAAAGAAGCGCGATGCGATTTTTTTTATGTCACTAGACAATGACTGAATCAGCTGTGTATTGTGCGCGTGCACGAGTGTTGCTGTTGATATTGTTATAATTGTAATATTTAATAATATTGTGATATACAAGATTTGTAAAGTCATACAGCTCTGGATAACTTGAAACCACTAGTCTCTCCTCCATTTTTAAAAATTCTCCATAGTTGTCTTGACAACACAAGCACTCAACGGAAACCCCACCTCTGCTTTCATTTGATTGGAGAATGAAAGAGACGAGACTGACGTAACACGCCTTTTCTGGTCAGAGTTGACTCCTTTTTCAACTGCGAGCACACGGTGTGCAATGGCAAAAACGCGAGGTGATTCCACACTTAGTCACGGCATCATCATATTTTGCCTTTTTTTGTTATGAATGTGCGCTCTCTAGTGGCGAAAATGACACACTATGCTTTTAAATTCATACAAGAGTTGCCACTTAGATATGTTTAGTGTTTATAGCAGGTTTGTCCCGGGTTTGAACCCTGGAGCTGGGAGATACTTAAGTCCAAGGCCTGTTCAATAAGCATTTAAGGGGATTTGAGATCAGGTAGGTCTCAAGAGATCCCCCTTAGAAAATGGAGGAAAAGGAGGAGATAGGGTGGAAGGGGGGATCCATCCAAAACGAAGATAGAGCAGCAGGGAGAAAACAGTCCATTTAATGTAAGCTAGTATCACTCTGATTGGATTATTATAGATTATCACGTTCTCCTCTCGAAATTAGTTTATGAAACTTCACTTTGAGCTGAGAAGTCATGCTGATGCACAGGTAAAAAATATTCTTTTGTAAATAGCTGCAAATGCAGATTTCAAACAGAGATGGAGACAAAAAAAAGACAAAATTTTACTATATATACTATATAACAGCTTAATGTCTATTAAAACTAACTTTATTATATTTTTTAGAAAAGTTGTAATGAAATAAAGTCCTTAAGTTCACCAAAAAAATAAATGAGTTAATTGACCACTTTTTATTGTGAAGTTCAATCCCTGCTGTTTCTCTACAGGCAGTGCAAGAGTGAGTCATGGCTGACACGGCACAACATGACATTTCAGTGGCTTTTACCAAATCTATCAGTAGCCTTTGTTTACCGATGGCCCGTGTAATGGCACCTGCATAATTACAGCAGAGTGCATAAAAACAGCTGGTTTTGTATTATTGATGTGACTAATGTGAGCAGCGTGATCATTCTCCGCTTCACATGTTCAGCGGTCATTTTTCTGCCCATCATATGTGCCTGTATATTGGCTGTGTGTTATATTTGATGGCATAGAGAATGTTTGGATTAGCATGTTTTGCGTTCAGCGTCTACACTGCTGTTTGCTGTGCAATGCTCTGTGTTTGTCTACACTCTAAACATGCCATGCTCAGTTTATGCAGAATATGTGTGCTGTGTTGATATGGCCCATCCGCTTTGTGTGCATTTGGCTTATGTGTGTGCAGCTTTGTGTGCGTTTGGCATTGGGTGTTTGTGTGTGTGTTTGGCACTGTGTGTATGCGTCGTCTGCTGCTGCTGCACTGCTAATGTGTTGAGTGTGCGATGTCTCCTGTATGGGGCGACTCAGGGATGAAGATCAGTACCTCCTGCGTCACTCCAGCCCCAGTCTCGAGCAGGACTCCCCTCACGGCCTCATGCTGGCCCAGCTGGACTGCCAGGACCGAGAGGAGCTGCAGCGCACCCTGCACCGCCTGGAGAACGAGAACCGGTGAGCACCCTTGCACTATCACACCTGATGCTGAGACATGAGCAGCACTAATCACAATTAACAAAATAGCTTCAGTTTTAGGATTTGTGTGAATGGTATATCACTGAATAATAACTGGTATGATGGTAGGGTGGTCCAAGAGCACTATGGCTGTATATCGGCACTGGTGGGTGGCATGGGTTGGCACAAAGCCACAGGCTGAGTGCTTTAGTGTCCCAGCACTGACAGTGACCAGGGACCAAATCCACATTGCTACAAGTGTGATACTGCATTTATACAACAATTCGACAGCATAATCGTGTGTGTGTATAAAAAAGAAAATCAAGCACAGAGAGTCTAAAGTATGAGGAGCTACTTTCTTCTGCCACTCATTCACATCTGCAGCTGATCAGAACAGCAGAAACTGTTGCTAGAGCTAGTCACTTTAGAGCTAGTATTTAAATGATTCTCTACCATAATATCCAAAGTGATGACAGAACCGGTGATTTTGCTCACATTTTAAGATTATAAGGCTGAACAGCATGAAATGCCATCAGTCTACATGGATTTGCCAGTATTTCTCTGTTGCAATCAGGAGATCACAATAATTAACCTTTAGGCACAATATTCAAAATTTAAGCAGCACAAACATTACCAGATTACTATTGTGTTTGCAATAAGGAAAAACACTAAACACATGCGGGTATGTGCTATACAAAGAGTGGCCAACACAAACATCTCACACTCAAAACACTACAATTATTGTGGTATAAATACAGCACCATAACATACAAAAGAGAAAGATCGACTCGGCTTCGGCTTATTATGCTGTCTATGTCACCATCTTGTGGATGGACAGCATCCTTGCAATCAACCTTGCTCCATCCTTGTTTATATAAATACTTAAATAAGGCACTATCCTAATAAATAAACTGCATATTTTCAATCTAAACAACTACATTCTCACCTAAAAAAGCCTCAAAAGTACATTATGCTGTCCCACAGCTGCAATATTTGTCAAACTGTAGTGAGTCTATTGATCTGCTATCACTCTATGTGGGCAGAGTAATATACAAGAATGAAGAGGCTGTATGAGAATATCGCTCAACTATCAGCCAATCAGATTCGAGAACTAGGCAGAACTGTTGCATATATACAGTTGAAGTCAGAAATATTTGCCCCCCTTGAATTATACACCCTCCTGTTTATTTTTTCCCCAATTTCTGTTTAGCGGAGAGAAGATTTTTTCAACACATTTATAATCATAATAGTTTTAATAACTCATTTCTAATCAAAGATTTATTTTATTTTTAGCCATGATGACAGTAAATAATATTTTACTAGATATTTTCAAGACACTTCTATACAGCTTAAAGTGACATTTAAAGGTTTAACTAGGTTAATTAGGTTAGCTAGGCAGGTTAGGGTAATTAGGCAAGGTATTATATAATGATGGTTTGTTAGCCTGAGGGGGTTAATAATATTGTCCTTAAAATGGTGTTTAAAAATTAAAAAACTGCTTTTATTTTAGCCGAAATACAACAAATAAGACTTCCTCCAGAAAAAAATATATATATTATCAGACATACTGTGAAAATTTCCTTGCTCTGTTAAACATTATTTGTGAAACATTTAAAAAAGAGAAAAAAAATCTAAGGGGGGCTATATATTTATATAGTTAGTTAGTTAGTTAGTTAGTTAGTTAGTTAGTTAGTTAGTTAGTTAGTTAGTTTTTACATTCAATATATTTTTGTCAAACGATGATTATAACCCCAACAAGACCTCATCCGTTTTTGATATCTCCTCAGTCGTTACAAGACACGCACATACTCAATGCTGATTGGCACGTGTGTTTTGGGACTGGGTCTGACAAAAGTCTGAGAAAAGTTTTGCAGTGAAAAATTGCAAATATATTTCAGTATAATAAAATGCTGAAGAAATGTAGATTAACAAATAAGTCTGAATATATAAAGCTCTATTGTTTCTTATGAAAATGTGTCTATTTTAAACAATGTTGATTTTTTTTGGTGGTAAAGCAAAAAAGTATTTGTAAGCTAGCTGTATCTATAAATATTAGTTTGAACTGTGTGAGATAAAATGCAATTGAGGATATTATTATAATAATGGTTATTTTAGGTCGGAAAGGTTCATTGGACCCACATCAGATGAACGAGGTGTGTTTTTTATATCTTCAAACAGAGGTTCATACACACAAGTCTATCAGGTTTAGGGTTTTAGTTTCATCCCAGAGGCTACTGTTACAGCTCTGAGTCATTTATGAGTTTTGTCTTCAGCGTAAATCCTGACCTTTAAGTCATGTTCTCATGTGCTCTTGCTTTGTTATATGTGAGTAATAGGTCAATAAAGCTAGATTAATTGTTAGTGTCTGCAGGGGATCTGCAACCTTAACCTCCTGAATAAATCACGGCTTCCCACTGTCATTATCAGCAGAAAGAGTGCTGAATGATTGCTACTCTCTTAAAAAAACATGCTGTGCTATTTTTTTTTTTTTGTAATTTAATTTGATTTGGTTTTAGAGGGTTAAAAACAATTTCTCTTAAATAAAACACATCTAATTTATTCTCCAATTTAACACATATGATACACATAAAGAAAAAAGGTTCTTCAGAACATATAATGTGTAACTTAAGGATGCTGGACAACGGAGTTGAGGATCCACATGCAGTACTAAATTGCACAAAGAATAGTCAGATAGGCAATGGTCACAATCAGGAGCAAATGGTAACATACAGAGAAATCCAGAAGTATAGTCAGATAACAGAAAAATTTTAGGAATGGCTGATGTGAAACTAAAGTTTTGAGTATCGAGATCCCGAAGCATGCTCCAAAACACCCAGGTCACGTGACTACAGGATTCGAAACACACAGGTCATGTGACTAAAGTGTTTCAAAACACCAGATCATGTGACTTAAGTGATTCAAAGCATTGGTCATTTCAGAAGTGTTTCGGGACCTGGCGAATCTACATTTGACTGACAATGTCTGAATAAAACTCTGTCTCATATAGCCTAACCACATAGTTACTGTGCTGCAAATGGCTTTTGGGTTCGAATCCCGACTTGTACGAATACTCTGAAACTATGGTTTTATTTATTTTAATAATGTTACTGTTTTTTGGTGTAGTCTAGATAGGATACAGCTGCGGATACGCCATCAACATAGCATCATTTTTGTAACACTGTATGACAATAATCAATATTTTTAAAGTACTGTGACGGTTGGGTTTAGGGTAGACGTTAATAAAATACAGTAAATGGGAAATTTTATGAATAACATTAATAATTATCATTAACTTCTGGCCCCAAATGTATCTGATCTAGCAACAATATTTTTTTATGACCAAAACATGACATATTTATTCACAAAGTGTTCATTGGTAAGTCAGTCAAATGTTAAAACAAAACATGTTACAAGAAAAGAGGATTTCAAAGCTAACATCTATAGATGCATCACTCTGGATTCGAACCCATATTTTCTGCATGCTAGTCTGGAACTCTCATCACTCCACTAAATCACTTGTAGCCATACCTGCCAACACTCCAATTTTTCCCGGGAGTCTCCCGTATTTCAGACCCATCTCCCGCCCATCTCCCGTATTGTTCTGTCTCCTGGAAAACTCCCGGAATTCCCCCCCTTTTTCCTTGTTCCTCAGCTTTTTGGTACTGTCTGGCTAGCTGTTTGGTTCAGTCCCCATGCGCAACCATCTTCATACCATACTTCAACCAGCTGTGTGTATAGTCAATGGAGAACCGGGACAGGTGTGTGTGTGTATGGTGCCTGAAGGGAGTTGTAGTTCCTATGGTGACAGAATTGCAGTCAGAGTAAAAAGTGAATGTTTTCCAGTGATCTATGAGGCTTAGATCGCTGGTGATCGTGACATAATTAATGCAATAACTTAAAATAAACAAAATAAATAAAACAATTGACAATGCTCAGCATATATGAGTAAACCACTCACAAATTGAAATTAATATTTTCTATAGAAAACTTTATAATAATATATTTGTGCATTGCATATACATTATTAGTCTGTACTGAAGCCTGAAGCTAATTTGACAAAATAATTTATGATAATGGCCCACATTTTATTTTAGGGGAAAATATTTGTACATTTATTTTTTAAATAGAGCAATATATATATATATATATATATATATATATATATATATATATATATATATATATAATATATATTGCAATATTTGACTTAAATTTAAATGTATTATCTTTCTATAATAAAAGACATTCGGTGACTAAAATATTATTTTAACAAATATATCTGTACTGAGTTGCAGCTGGAAGGGTATCCGCTGTGTAAAACATATGCCAGATCAGTTGCCGATTCATTCCACTGTGGTGACCCCTGATGAATAAATGACTATTCATTCATTTATTTTATTTTCAGCTAAGTCACTTTATTAATCCAGGGTCGCCACAGTGGAATGAACCACCAACATATCCAGCATAAGTTTTACGCAGTGGATGCACTTCCAGCTGCAATCCATCACTGGAAAACACCCATACACACTAATTCACACCATACACTACGGACAATTTAGCTTACCCAATTCATCTATAGCGCATATCTTTGGATTGTGGGGAAAACCAGATGAAACCAACACTAGGAAAACATGAAAACTCCATACAGAAATGCCAACTGGCCCAGTCGGGGCTCGAACCAGCGACCTTGGCACCACTGTGACGCTCCTAAATAAAGGACTAATCCGAAGCAAAAATTAATGAGTGATTGTGTCTTCCACAGGGTGCTGCAGGGCGAGTATCGGCGGCTGAAGTGGAAGCACGAGGAAGCAGCAGCATCACCTCAGCTTCTGGAGTCAGGTCCAGGTTCACCACCCGGTCAGCAAGACGAGGAACTTCTAGCCGAGGCCCGAGTCCTCCGACAGCACAAAACCCGCCTGGAAACCCGCATGCAGATTCTAGAGGACCACAACAAGCAACTGGAGTCCCAGCTCCGCAGACTCCGAGAACTACTGCTGCAGGTGTGTTCAACAGATGCCCGTATATCTTCAAAATGAGAAGCGGGCCCTAAGTGACTATTAAAATGTGAGGTAGAAGAGATTATAGTGATGGAAACAATGGAAGAAAGGTGTGTTGGGAGTTGAATGAATATGTTAACGCTGCACAGGGATGGACATGCGCAGGTAAATCAGAGCTGGAGACTTTAATGTTAAATGTTTATGGGGTTGAAGGAAGGTTTTGAGCTTTAAAAACAGCCGCTCTGAGAGAAATAAAGATGGCTTACACAATATGGTGAAAAAAATGGGAGTAAGATGCATTTGAAGCTTTCGGCGAAAAGAGTAGGAAGGAAATTGAACAGAGGAGGATAGACCGTATTATAGACTACCTTGATGTGCTAGATGTAGAAGGGTAAAAGCGAGGCAAGAGATGCTTACTAATGCAGGTTGGGCGAGGACAAGGAGACAGGAAACTAGAAAAGAATCGTCTCAAGTGAAAGGAGACGGGGGGGGATTCCCATTATTGAGGCCTGAAAAGAGATGGAGGGAGTGCAGGGAAAACACTAACTTTGGTAAATTGCAAAGAAAGGGAAAGCCAGAGAATAGCATTGATGGAGATGCAATCATACAGATGGAGTGGGTGGAAGGTAAGTCATTTTTCCAGCTGACGTACGTAGAGCTTAAGGAGCGAGATGGACAGAATAGAGTGGGCAGAAAGAGGATCCTTTTCTTCAGTGGAAGAAAGACAGAAAGCAGGCCGAGGAGGGAAAAGAAAAGCTCAGGCGGTGCTGAGTGAATGGGATAAGAGGTGGTTGTGCAGAAAAAAAGCGAGGCAGCGCTGCAGAGATATGATTGGCAGGTTGAATGGAGTGAGAGAGCAGAGCGAAAACACTGAGGCTGGAGCTATAGGTGAAAAGGAATTAGACGGAAATAGAGGGAAGGAACTGAGGAGAGAGATCGACTTAACCTACAAAAATGAATAAGAGATGTGTCACGGGGAAGCAATAATGTGCTGGGATTATGGAGATCTGAACTCTTCGTTCCGCACCCCTAGACTGGGAAAGTTACAGTCTTACCTCTGTGGACATCTCTAAAGTGATAAAAGAGTTTAACTGAAGAAAAAAATTTGAGGTATTCATGAAAAAGGGCCTCGGTTCAACTCATCTGCCTGTGAAATATGGGGGGAAAAGAGGCGAGTCATCTCTGTTTCTTATCAGTTTATTTCATCTCTCAAGAAAATACAGCGCCTTTGTAACGTGTGTAAAAAGGGCCAAATCCCTGGTCGATAAACGGCAGAGTTTGGAGTTTTGGCAGCATTTGAAAACTTGCGACAGCTTTTTTTTCCCATCAAAGAACCCAACAACTCTGCTTTCTGCAAGGCTGGCTTTTAAAATTGACTACATACAGTCTGGTCTGCTGTTTATATCATGTGAATGCCATTTGCATTTAGTGGCAAGTGTTATCTCTAATGATAATGGGTTAGTTTGTTGTTCCTATTTTATACTTGCAGTGTTGGTAGAAGGCATGAAGAAGGTACAACTAATTTACTGTTGCTACTGTTTACTGTTTTATTTACTCTTTGATATCTACATAGTAGATATGTGGCTTAGGTAAGATAAACATTTCTACAGAAATGAATTATTTGCTTATTTATAACCACAAAAATTACCCCTAGAATGAAAAGCTCAGTTTTAACCGTATTTGGAACAGTCATGAATAATAATGAACACTGCTGATGCCTGACACACACACACAGCGTAATATACTTTGAAATAAATAGCAGCAAAATAATTATGTTTTATTTGTAAAAATTTTCTTTTTAAAAGGCTCATTCTGAAAATTTAGCCTTATATGCATTTCTGGAGATCCAGAATTTTGTAGCCAGAGGAACGTATGGCTGCATTTCCTCTTTAAAATGAACGCTACGGGGTGGTATGACGCCATTTCTTTTCGCGCTTACCAGCTTTCCGCTTACCTTCATATGGACAGCTTTACTGCTGTTACCAGTTTGTCCAGTAGCTTGCCATGTACATTGGCAGACTTGAGATGCAGAGAGGAGTTGACCATGACAATAGGGTCGAGTCTGAGTCCGGCGAAGAACGGTTCCAAAAAGCGAGTAAGACAAAAACAGAAGCCAAAAAATAAAATAAAGAAGTAAATAACAAGGTGAAAATGTGGTAAAATCTGAAAACATGATAAAAATCTGTCTGCCACAAAAATTTGTCTTTTCTTTTTCTGGATTGCTTTCGAAAACACTGTTAGTCGGGTTTAGGGAAGTGAATGGGCACTGGTCAATTGGTACTTTTGAAAACATTATTGGTTGGGTTTAGAAAGGGAAGAGGTTGGGTCAGTCAATCAGTCAGTCGGTTGACAGCAGCCTCTGGTGGATGTACACAAGAGTAACAGGGCTGAATGGCACTGGCAAGAGAAATGTTTTAAAAGCAGCCCAGGTGGATTTGCAAAAGCAAAAACTACAAAAAAAAGCAAAAACTACAAAAAACTTAACTCCTTTTTAAACATTAAAAACTGCTCATTACGCTGCTTCATGTTGCAATTTGATATTTTCTTGTTATATTGTTTTACTTGGTCTGTATAATCATGCAAACGTTTGTTTGTAGAGCAAGTAGTTTGACTGTTTTTTGCCGTTTATCATTCCTAGTCATTTCTCCCATAGGCAACTGAATCGGAAGTTCTAAGACAATCGCAAAAACAGGCGCACTTCCGCATTTTAGAATAAGGTCAATAGGGCTGCGTTTTAAATGTGCATTAAACACAGGAGCTCAACAGTTTACTTGTGTTTGTTACCACATTACAATCATACACTGGAAATTTCACAATATACATATGAAGATAAAACAAAATATAAAAGATATTGTTGTTATCTCATTATAGCTAATCAAATTCTGCCTAAGGCATGCATAATAATGATCTGGTGTAGATTGTGTATTTTGTTCTGATTGGCCTGTTTTCCACTGGGATTTTCCACTCAGAGGATTAACATGAGAATGAGGAAACAATAGTGTTTGAGGCTCATAGTATGTCATTTCCACGTACTGAACTCTTATTCAGTTATGGCTAGGTATATCCAGATTTTCATTCTATGGCACCTTTAAGTGGTGACATATGGAATTATGTTTCGGGCTCTAAGCATGCACTCAGTTTAATGGAGTAACATTTTTCAATAACCCTTTATGACCACTGTTTAGTCAAACCACACTTTAAAATCACAGTTTATAACGGCATCCAAGACAACAATACATCTACATGAATAGGAACGATACATTTATAATTTTCAATATAAGATCACAACACACTGTGAGTGTATGTTAGTAATTATTATTATTTTTATAGCCTTTATTTTACCAGGAAAATGCACATTAAGATTACAAAAGTGTCCTGGCCAAGATTGAGCAGTGTACAGTTCACATATGTTTAACAAAAATAACAGATTACATGATGCATCCATCAAAACACACATACAATGACACCTAAAACTAACCAGAACTTCTACAGGCCAATGTTACCCGTTCCAAATCATTAAACATCTTTTTAAAAGTGTGTAGTAAAACCAACTCTTTAAACTGCAGCTTTGTTTGCAGGTTATTCCCTGCAAGAAGTGCTGCATGTTTAAAAGCAGTTTCCCCATTTCAGTATATACCCTTGGTGCAGACAATAAATAAAATTCCTGAGACCGAAGGCTATACCAATAGAGTTTTTTTTTTTTATCCAGTTTTTTTTTTTTTTTTAAATGTAGGGAATGGAGTAAACTGGAATGGATTTCTAAACAAAGATATGCCAATGCTTGAATCTAGTGATATTCCTTTGACCCTTGCCATATAGTCTGATACAGCATTTGATGACACGTGATGTCAGACTTGACAAGCGGATTGCAATGTGAAACGTAATTGTTGTACAGCTATTATTTTAAGAGTCATATTTTTAACTCATGTTGAAGGGAATTGTGCATGAACTTCATTGGAGTTGGTTGCACTGGTATGCCCAATTGTTTTTTAATGTAATTGTTAATTTCCGTCACAAACTGTACATCCCTGAAGAACCCAAAGCATTTGAACATCAGTGTTTATATTAGAGTAGTGCTAAAGTTATATAGAATTTTTAAATATTAAATATTTAGGATTTAATTATATCCTTGCATCATTTTGTCATGTCTGGCAGCCCAAAGACGACTCGGAGGCCAATGGTTCGGCACCCTCCTCTCTGTCCTCTCCGGTGTCAGGTGGCCACCAGGGGGAGCCTCCCAGCAGAGAGACCACAGACACAGAAGCTGCAGGTGAGACCCCAGAATAACCTGGCAGCTCAGCGCCATTTGCTGTCTTCCTGCCAACATCAGCCCATAATGGGATTCAGAGAGATGTGACTTATTTAAATAAGGCAGATTATGCGTCGCTGTTAGCTTGTGCTGCATTCTGTTGAGGTTTAATGTAGCATTTAATATTGCGTAGGTGAGGATTTGGATCATGAGCAGGACACGGTACTGCAGCTGCAGCAGGTTATCGAACAGTTGAGGAACGTCTTCCCGTCTGAGCCAGGACCATGAAGAACCTGAAGCCAAACTCTGAGGCCTATACGTCTGCAGGTTTCCTTATGCTTTCTTTATTTCTACATTATAAGAGTGGTATTTATATAATCCTCTGCATAAACAGGTCACAGTTCTACTGGCATGCTTTCACTCCAGAAAACCACATTAAGAGGTGAGCGATATGACATGATGCATAAGGGGCCGATCACACCAAACACGCATTTTGCTTTGAGAGGCGTTTTTTAAAAATGATTTACCATGGGTGTTTTGCACGCTGCTTATGAGAAATATTGAAAAACAGCCCTGCAATGGGACATCCAAAACATGCAGTGTTGGTGGTCCTTCGGGAGCATGGTTGAGAAACACTGACTACATTTCCATGGACATCAGTAATCAAATTATTTGCATTAGTCTGAATAAGACAATAATATGATTAAGGTGTTTACATGAGTTGCTTTTTGAATGTTTCTATCATGATCCTGTTTTACATGTTACAGCACATAATTCAATCGACGACATTGCTATCCACATTTTCTCTAGAGTTTCATGTTATTTCGGGTGTTTCATTTTTAATTTGTCAACATTAACTGCAGTTTGGTACTCTCACTTTCATTGAGGAACATTTCATGTATGCCCTATGACAAACGAGATATTGGATGCAAGTATGAACTGCTGGAAGAGTGTTGTTTTAATGAAACGTGAGACTGCATGCCGTATGGGGAAAAAAAACATCACATTTTGCGATGCAAGTGTCTTTGGTCCTTCACTGACTTTGTAGGTGTAGAGAATAGTGTCAAACAGCTGTGTGCATATAGACCAGCGGTTCTCAAACTGGGGGCCACCAGATGGCGCTAGGAGGGTGCAAAGAAATTCTAGATGAAAGGGGGTGTATCTAAAGGTTAATATATTTCTTTATTAGAATTTGAGCTCAAAAGTACTGGAAATATTAAGTTTTATTAGTTAATTTAAATGCAGTTGATACTTTCGCACACAGGAAAAGAAGCGCAGCGTAGCGCCACATCACTATGCACAGGGACGTTAATTAAATCAGTGCTCCAACCGGGTGCCTCCGGTGATTTTTGGTGCTCGTGTCTGCTGCTCCTGACGGCGTTTACATTTAGCTTACATTTTCAATGTTGTTTACTTTTAAACAACTAAATGAATTCTCATGTCTATTTAAGTGACTATATTTCAGTTCAAATACATGATCAATGCTGTATAAAGAATATTATCGGTGGCTGAAAGCTCATCCCTATATGGGTAATTCTTCAACTACGGGCACTTTGTTTTATACTTTGTAATATATAATTTTGTTCAAATTTCTCTTTTATTGTCAAACTAACAATAAAACCTACTTTAAAATTTACTACCTTTCTATTATATTTTTTTCATGTTATTTAACCTCCTTTTAGGTGTCAAAATCACTGTTTTCACCTTGACACACAACCATTTCAACAATGAAAATGACATTTTAATATAAATATTATTTATAAATATTATTTTATAGTTATTAATGTGAGACTGTTATCAATATTATTTTTTATACAAAATATCTAATAGCTGTCGCACAGTATCAGTGTCCTTTCCACCACAACACTGTAATGTCGCTTTAAAAAGTTTGTGTGAAAGATTATTTAGTTGGTTTCTATGAAAATGAATAGAATGAATTCTACGTCATTTCCAAACATGTTGTACCTTCAAAGGTGTTTTTAACAAACAAAATGAAGGTAAATAAAAGTGTTTTGTATACATGAAAGGCTAGTATCAATTCAAAGCTAATCGGTGAAGCTATTTTTAATTTTTCACAATAAACTGTGGAAATGTCATTTCCACTACTGTCAATTCCATCACCACAAACATTTTTTAAAAATATTTTAAAAGTTTTTATCACACATTTAAAGTGTATTCACAATGTATAAGTTCATGCTCTATTCAATATACAAATTCGGTTTATTTATTTTCTAATAAACTCTTAACCAAATTAATATTTCATTTTAGAGTGTGATAGGTGTATAATTCAGCCAACAATTAATTTATTTCATTGACAAATGTATAATTATTATACATACATTGTGGAAAGATTGGTTAAACTAGATACAAAAGTGATCTTAGACAATGTTTGACTGCCATAATTTATTTCATTTTGAAATATTGAGATGTGGCAAAATTGACATTTGTTCAGTTTCTCTTCTTATCTAAGTTTGTCCTCTTATAGATCTTAAAACTAGACAAATTGTTTAAACTTATGAGGCTATGTTACGTTAATTTTGAAAAAAAAAATTTTTACTCAACTTCACAAAGCTAAAAGTGCCCATAGTTGAAGAATGACCCATATATGGCTTGTGCTGCTAAGTAACCGATCAGCTGGGCGCTGTGGAGAGTGTGCCTCTCTGCACAGGCCTCACTCAGAGAAAACAAATGTCATTTTAAAGACAAGACACAACATTGCACTTCGTCCACAGTGCAACAGGCTTTACACTTTACATTGTGTAGATATCAGATGGTTCTCTTTGCAGCATGACAAACCAACCTATTAAAACTAAAAAAGGAAAAAGTGCTGCAATAACAATGAATGGAGCTGTCATCACATCAGCGAGATCATGGAGATTGAACTCCTGTTACAATAATGACAGCTGGATGAGCTCTGCAGTGAACCTCTTACTAACATTGGTCAATAACTGGATGATTTAAATAAATTAATAAATAAATTATATATATATATATATATATATATATATATATATATATATATATATATATATGTGTGTGTGTTACATTATAGGGCTAATGAATTACTAAATGTTTAAATGTAATAGTGCTCAACATATCTGCTCAAAGTGTAATACTCGGAGTGTAAATGCATATTTATCAAGATGCTAATCCACCATTTTTCCCACATTTTAAAAATGTAACTAATTTAAATGTAATGTTCAGTGTTATTTTTATTAGAACAAGTTGTTAATGAACATTTTAAAGCCAGCAAAATGCTAAATTTATGCACTCTTTGCATTTTAAGTGGTTTAAATGTGCCCTCTTTGCCTCTGAACTTGATTACCCCATTCTAAAATGCATTTAGCAAAATATTTTTAGCAGTGTTAAGTCAGGATTGTCAACCTCAGTAAATTATGATGTGCACAAAAAAAGGAATATTAATAAACAAAACTTCAACACAATGAACCACTACAGCCTTCACTCTATTGAAGTATTGCTAGTTACAACAGCACAGTAAACCTTTAACCATTAACAGGCTGATGAATGACAGTACTCTATAAAACTTTAAAGCTAAATTTAGGCTTTCAGCTGAAAGGGTTAATGCAGAATTGTGTAAATGTGATGACTCGTATACAAAATAGCTTGTGGCTATATGGCTCGATCAAATCCAGTGAGAGCAGACCACAGTGTACTTGAAGATTTGATCGGTTGATTGGAGCACTGAAACCATGTCAACTCAACTGACATCTCACAAAAATAAATCCAGAACATGAATAGTACAATTCAAAAATTTTTAAGTAAAGTTTTAAATGTAAGTTTTTTTTTTTTTTGTGTGTGTGTGTGTGTGTGTGTGTCATTTTTATTTTTTAGGTGGGGGCCCAAAAGGATTTGCCCTACACAAAGGGGCCCTTGTCTGAAAAAGTTTGAGAACCACTGGTATCCTGTAGCAAAATGCTGTGTTTACATGTCTGTACTGCACTTCAATAATGCGACTAAAATGGGCATACTCCACACGTCTTAATTTGATTTCTGTTAAGTTTGTTTATGACCTTAATCGGATTAAAAATTGCTGTATACATGGTAGACTCTTAATCAGAGTATTGTCTTAATTGCATTAAAATTGGATTATTGGTCCATGAATGAACACAATGTACTCAAAACAAACTTGAGAGCTAAAGCAAGATATTTTCAGCAAAAATAAAACAAAAACAACACCTCCTAGTTTGTTCCCAACACCCTTCAGAAGACATTTGTGCTTTAGAAAAGAAAAGAAAGTCATAGCGGTTTATTTTGAGCTGAGCTATTCATTTAAAACATGTTTTTTTATTTTAGTATGCACTGCAGACGGAGCGCTACACACTCCACTTCTCGGTTTGTTAAAGAGAACTACACTAGAAAACATTCCTGAACTTTTTGCATTTGATGTTTCAACTTTCTATTGATCTGTCCATGATGTAACCCCCCGTCTTTAATATTTCAGGTGCCGTATTGCTCATCTAAAGGTGGGCAGGGTCTTCAACGTCCAGGGCCGTCGAATCCAGACCAGAAGAGTTTCGTTTGCCAGTCCCAAAGAGCAGAGGGGATTTCTGAGTGCTGACTAAACAAACTAATGTTTACATGGTACCAAAAGCCTGCATTGATCCGGACACTGTGCTAACCGTGTGCTAATGCAAGGTGTGGAGCTTCATCCGTACAGCACAAGAGCCAGAAGAAGGGAAGAAGTCTCTCCTTAGGTATCCCTGTGCCAGCAACTTCTCTGTGTGTGCGTGTGTGTGTGTGTGTGTGCGTGTGTGTGTGTGTGTGTTTTTCCATTTTAAAATGATTTACTTACTCATGCGCATAAACACAAATATACACGTATATCGATGGTAAGTCAGGAATGTGTGGCCCCTGTCCCGTGAAGCAGAAAAAAGCAGATTTCTCTGAATTTTCAGGACACACAGGAAAGCTTATTTACACTGGAGGAATGACGTCTTTGGTTGAGCCTATCATTTATTTAAGATGCCCACAAACATTGTGCTACTGCCTTGAGCTTCTCTTTACTTTTTCATCAATCGAAAATGCATATAATTATGCACACTCTGCATTTTCTTGATTAGTATTTGTGTTTTGCTTTCAATACAAATATCTAAGCATCTTTAAAACGAGATATGATATTGTTTAAAAGTTTGAGGTTAGTGTGATTTTTAAAGAAATGGTATTAAGAAATCGTGCATTAAATTGAGCAAATGTTACAGTAAAGACGTTTAGATTAAGTACACATGAAATCAAAACTAACCAACTAAGCTGTGTCCAGGGTCGGATTAACCAATGGGCATTATGGCCCCTGTGCACTTGGGGCCTCTGCGAGCGTGGAAAAATGCCACTTTTGGAGTGCCTATTTAGGCTAAGAGCAAATAGTGCACCTCCTTGGAATAAGCTAGTTAAGCGATTCCCACCCATCACCGTTTGATTGACAGAGAAAACATAACTGAAGAGCGCAATAGACAGCAGCGCGAGTGGCGTAGTTCGTTAAGCGCATGGCAACTTGTTTTGATGCGATCGATCATGAACCCGGTCTGATGAACACGTTTTTCTTTTTCCCCCACTACATATTAGATTTTGCCTATTCTTCATCATGAGGAAGACAAGTAGGAATCATTAATAAGCGTGTGTATTATGGAGGACTCAGATTCATAAAACTGGATTGGAGAGGTGTTATATCCAAACCATATGCATCATAGAAGTAGAAGTTATGCATTAAAAATACCTTTAAATATAATTTTTAGTTGTGCTTCAGTGAACTTGAACAAGTAAATTAAAATCCATTAATTTGCACTAGTTGTATTAGTATATTTTTTTAATGTGTGCTTTAAATGCTTTAAAATAAGTTAAATCTTTGTAGACCAAATATATGTATTGTATATAATTTATAAAAAAAAAAAAAATTAATAAAAAATATTATTATTATTATTAATATTAAAAATATTAAATATTATTATTATTATTTTTAATTCAACTATAGGGGTGCAGCTTATTAGGGGGCCTACAAGACATTGTGCCCAGAGGCCTTTGAATTCATAATCCGGGCCTGGCTGTGTCTCATTTCAGAGGCTGCATCCTCCGAAGGTAGGGTAAGGCCTTCGAAGTCCACACAAGGCGAACCAAGCACTTTGAAATGAGATGAGCTAGCCCACAGAGGACAGATCTCATTACCTTGCAACTGTAACAGCTGATGTTATGAAGCTGTGATAAAATTAGTTATGACTTTTTCTCCAAAGTGATTTTAAAACTTATTTTAAGCGATCTGAAGACAAAGCAAGGTTTACAAAAGCTGGAAATATATCTTCTTTGATCCATACATGTAGGCAGAAACACCAGCTTCAAATGTTATCACTCGATTGAATAGATGTTATCAGTGGTTATCAGCTGATAAATACGGGCCAGTAGGGGCCTTCTGCGTATACTGGCAGGTTCGGAAGGCTGTAATCATCCATCCACATGGTTAATCAGCTGTACTAATAGAGAAGACTCCAGATCCAGATCTGTTTGTACATTACTGGACGGTTGGGTTTAGGGTAGGGGTAAACATTAATAAAATACAGTTAATGGGAAATTTAATAAATAACATAAATAATTATTATGGTTAATTAGCTCTAATAAAAGTGAAGATCTGTTTTTACATTACTATGACTGTTGGGTTTAGGGTTTGAGTAGGGGTAGAAGTTAATAAAATACAATTAATGAGAAATTGAATAAATAATATAAATGATTCTCGTTAACTTCTGGCCACAGCTGTATGTAACCTATAGCTGATTAACCATGTGGATGGATGATAACAGCCTTCTGAGCCTACCAGTAGGCACAGAGGGCCCCTACTGGCTCATATCTATCAGCTGATAACCACTGATAATGGCTATTCAATCACGTGATTACATTCAAATCGGCTGCACATAAAATTGTTAACAGTCTTGCCGTTATTAGCACAATGAATCCTGGGAAGTTAGAGGCCGCAAAGAATCCACCGGTTGTGTCCTTCATTACCTGGAAAACAAGAACGCATTATGAAGATGCATTTGAAAGAGCCTTTAAATTTTTTTTTAAAATGACACAGCCTTCGACGCACTGCTATGACGCAGTGTCCTTCGAATGCATCCTTCGGAGGATGCAGCCTCTGAAATGAGACACAGCTATTGCTAGTTTTGTGGTGAACAATTCATCTGTGCATGTCATTAAGAAATAAAATTGCTTGCCCTTGTAATCTAGAATTAAAATCTGATAATGCACTTCCTGTTTGTTTTCAGTTAAATTCTCAGATTACATCTGTCTAAGGGTATTGAGCGAGGTTAACATACTTAACCACACTCCTCCAACTGTCAGTTTTGGCAACAAACAAAAATAATGTGGAGAAGGTGCCTGTTAGTTTGTAATAACTTCTAAAACCCAAAATGATAATAAGTTAATACTTTTATTAATACAATAATAATTAGTTAATAATATATATATATATATATATATATATATATATATATATATATATATATAGTTCAGGTCAGTATCCTCAGCAGTAAATACATGGAAAACTTTTAAACAAATGTTATTGTAAGGAAAATAATTAAACCATTAAGGTAAATGGAAATAGAAGTTTTATTGAGATGTATTGTTGGTGATTATCTTAGTGTTGGCCAGATTGGGTAGCTATACATAATCAAAGAAAAAATAAGACCTGCTAAAAAAAGACTTAAGATCTAAAGCACAATATTTCAATACACTACCTGACAAAAGTCTTGCCACCTATTCGAGTTTTAGGAGCAACAAATCATAACTTAACTTCTATAGTTGATCATTTGGTATCAGACGTGGCTTATATGAAAGACAAAGGCCTTAAGATTACACTTATTTTACTCAAATAAATTATGATCATGCCTTTATGTTTAATAATTTAATTAGGACAGTAAGATCTGACTTAGCTTAGACAAAAAGTCTTGCCACTTAGCAGAAATAATGTACAGTATAGAATATAAAGTCATGGCGCAGTGGAAAAAGAATTAATTTTATGTATGACTCCCATGAGCTTGGAGGACTGCATCCACACATCTTTGCTGTGAATTAAATAACTTATTAATGAAGTCATCTGGCATGACAAAGAAAGCGTTCTTGCAGGACTCCCAGAGTTCAAGACTCTTTGGATTAATCTTTAATGCCTCCTCCTCCATCTTACCCCAGACATGCTCAATAATGTTCATGTCTGGTGATTGGGTTGGCCAATTCTGGAGCATCTTGTCCTGCTTTGCTTTCAGGAACTTTGATGTGGAGGCTGAAATATGAGGAGTGCTATCCTGCTGAAGAATTTGCCCTCTCCTGTGGTTTGTAATGTAATGGGCAGCACAAATGTCTTGATACCTCAGGATGTTGATGTTGCCATCCACTCTGCAGATCTCTTGCATGTCCCCATACTGAATGTAACCCCAAACCATGATTTTTTGGATTCATGCAGGTTCCAATAGGTCTTCTGCCATATTTGTGATGATTAGGATGCAGTTCAACAGATGATCCATCAGAAAAATCAGCCTTCTGCCACTTTTCCAAACGATCAACTAGAAGTCAAGTTATTATTTGTTGCACTTACAACTGGGATCGATGACAAGACTTTTGTTTAGTAGTGTAAATTTAAGACTTTTAAAGGCTTAAATGATTTGGAAAGACATTTGGTTAAAGCCACTTATTATAAAGTGGGACCAAATATTTTATCAGTAAATGTTGATGACTCTTTAAACATAAATCATTTACGCCTTTTTAAAAAAAGGATTCAAAATTCATTCTCTGAAAAGCCATCTTAAAAAGGCTTCCCTTCCCGATTGATCTTGTTTCTAAGGATGTTTAGGTATTTGTACCGGAAAACAAGACAAAAGCTTGATTAAGAAATTGATTTTTGTTTTGTTTTGACGGTGTAGCCACTCATACAGAAATCCATCTCAGAGATGAGCGGATTTCTCGGCTGTTGGCTTTCCGCTCACAAGGGAAAGGTCTCTCAGCAATGGAGATTTGCAGTGCTGTTTTGTTGTCAGAGCTTCTGCCGTTAAATCACCGCTGTCCAGCATGGCATGAACAAGAAAGCAGATACCAGAGAAGTCGACTCAATGGCAAGTTTTTATCCCTTTCGTCTTTGGCTATTTTACATCCAAGTCACAGCCTGATTCATTTAACCCCGAGCACATCTCTCCTATTATGCCTTAAGACTTCAAAGCTCCTTTTTTTTCCCTCCCGAACAATAATAGCCTTACATCTCTCTGTCTTATTGTTGTCTTCCTGATGTAAGTATTCTGTTTACCAAACGCCGTTCTCTCACAATCTAAGAAGGGAAATGAAAGTGAGCGTGCGCAAGGATTATTTTACATTATGCCTTGGGAGGAGGACGGCAAATGGATCACGCTCTTTGTAAACAGAGAGGGAAAAAAAGGCTGTTTTATTTTGTGGAGTGATTTACTGTGGGGTGTCAGATTTATATGAGAAGATGCTGGGGGTGTAGTGAGTAGAACAGAGGAAATAGATTGCAAGCGAGAGACAGGAAGAGTGTGGAAGAAAGACTGCAAATGGGAAAGAGAAAGTGTGTAAATATTCACTGTGATGGGTTGTGACACCGCAGCCCTCTGCAAACGGGATTGAGATTATTGAGGCTGAGAGAGCGAGAGATGTTCCATTTGTTTGAGCGATTCCTCGTTTTCTCTTTCTCCGTCAGGGAAAAAAAAAGCAAAGTGACCCTTGATGCACTGTAGGTTTTGCTACTGCGCCATCACATCTCATTTTACATCACTGTGGCGAGCTGTCTGTTTGTTTGGATGTGGTTGCTAAGGAACTGTCCCCAAGGACACGGCGCCGCAGGTTAGTCTTTTACAAAGGTGGCGTGGCTTCATAATGGCGGAGACAAATAAGCATGTGGCGAAAGACTCTGGTCCCCTCTTGCCTCTGTTTAACTTGCATGGCTCCTCATTAAGATCAACATCTGGTGTCTCATCAGCAGCGACACCCATTTATCATTCCAGTGCTTCATCAGGACCAAAAACCCGCTCGCAAATATTGAAGTATGCATACTGTGTGGTTCGTTTGCATTCTGCTGATCTCTCTCTCTCTATTCCTTGCCAAACACAACACATTCAGGGCTTAACATTGCAACACTTTTTTTTTCTTGTATAACATCTAAATCTCCTTAAAACTAGTTTATACCATCAGACAAGTTAGAAACGTAGACATATTTATCTGGAAATGTGTCTTAAGGGGGCTATTTGTAGAATTCAGAAATGCTTCTCACGGTGAACACCGGTGAATTGCAGCTAGAACTGTATCGCAGCTAGAACTGTATCGTCCACACTTAGGGCTCTATTTAAATGATCTAGGCACAAAGTCTAAAGTGCGATCCGAATCCACTTTTGCTATTTTAGAAACGGAAAAATACGGTGCTTATTATCCTAATGAGTAATGGGTGTGTTTTAAGCATAATGTGCATTAAACCAATCAGAGTGTCATCTCCCATTCCCTTTAGGAGTCAGTTGTGTCGCCCCATGGCGCATTTGTATTTACATGGTATACTTTGTAAGAGGTAAAACTGAGAGCTTCACTGTGAAAAAAAATAGTTAAACAGACCATCTGCAGAGCGAGGATAAAGAACCTGCCTCCTCCAATCTGCCTTTACTTTCTCTTTACCTTACTTTTACTCTTTACTCTTTTACTTTCGTGGATAAGGAAACAGTGTTGTAGTAACTCCACTGAAGACATCCGTTTGCCCACATATTTAATTTTGTTTTTTTAAGCACAAATATGTGT